GGTCCATGAGGCTAAAACTTAACTCTAGAGCAGGTGTTCTCAAACTGCGGCCTGCCGAGAACATTTATCCGGCCCTCCGGGTGTTTTTACCCCATTTGTTTTTTTACTTCAAAATAAGGTATGTGCAGTACGCATAGGAATTTGTTCATAGTTTGTTTTAAACTATAGTCCGGCCCCCCAAAGGGTCTGAGGGACAGTGAACTGGCCCTGTTTAAAAAGTTTGAGGACCCCTGCTCTAGAGCTCTAGTTCCATGCATTTTTCTTATTAGCTTCTTTCTACTGTAATAGACTTCTAAAAGACTAAGTGACCATTTAGTATGTATGTGTGTAGAAGCTACAAAAAGCTTCTAAGGAAAAAAACCAAAAACCTAAGGGTTCATGGGAAGATGGAATTAAAAGGGTAATAGAATTTTTCAACCACTGTTTGGAAGCCCCCTTATACATAGATGGAGTCATCTGTGGGTTAGGCATTGGGCTGCTAACCCCAAGGTTGGAGGTTTGAACCTAAAAGCCGCTCAGAGTAAAAGTGAGGCTGTCTGCTCCATTAAAGACTTACAGTCTCTGTTGAGTCACAATAGATTGGGAGGCAGCCTGTTTGGTTTAAGATATTTGGAAAGGCAACAGTCTAGGTCTCTGAGGACTGCATCCTAGCAGTTCTGCTCTGTGGACCATCTGCATCAAAATGAGCCCATTGATGTGGGATGCCCCCAGGACTTCTGCAGTGTAGTGGCCTCAGGCCCCACATTGGATTTGGAATGCCATCCCCCAAGTAATTCTTATGCTTACTACATTTTAAGAATCACTTTGATATCACAAAAGGCTGCTTTGCCAAATGTAAAATTTGCATTAGCTGGTCTGCACTACAACCAATGCTTTTGCATAAGTGAAAATCAGATGTATTCAACTGGCACACCTGAGAAAAGGGCAAGGTTCACGCCTTTTGAAGAACGGAGAATCTTACTGGCAGTTCAACACTGCTAAGGGTGCAGTGGGGGGTGCTCCTGAAGCAAGCAGATAACAAGGTCACTCCACAGTGCCCTGGGGTTCTCAATTCTGTATCAC